CACACACACACACACACACACACACACACACACACACACAGGAACTCGCTTCCTTAGGTTGCAGGCAGAGACAGACACCAGGGGAGGGGGATAAAGATATTCCTACATCCTTACTAATCACCCAACGTGGTTGGAGGGGCGGGAGCGCAGAGATTCAGAGATTTCAAACCTAGTACCTTGCCCTCTATCTTGCCACTGGACCATTAAATTCAGAAATTCGGTGTGAATAAAAAAGGTAAGAGCCCGAAACTGGAAAGAACAGAGAGCAGCTGGAAGGAGGGAGGGGAACCCCCACACACCAGGATCTGAAGCCCGCTTTAGAAAAGCGCAGCAGGCAAGGCGGCACCTTGACACGCCTTAGGGGATCCCGGTGCCTCTGGGAGGTGCTGCGGTTGGGGGTCGGCTGCGCGGGAAAGGAGCTTAGGGACTCAGGGCTGCTGATCATGGGGAGCGCGCCCCGCAGTTTGGCCTGCTTGAGCCCCCAACCGGCACTCTCTGCTTGCACTCCTCTTGGCCAGCGGAGCCTCGCCGCGGCCGCTGACATCATTGCCAGAAAAGGAGGGGCTGCCGGGACGAGGAGGACCCCTGCACGAACTGCGTTCCTGCGGCTTGCTAGAGGAGGCGCTTGCTAGCCGCTTGGCAAACTCAGTGCCCTGGCGGCGGCACCCTTACTCGAGCTGGGCGCGGCAGTTCTTAATTTAGCATCAAAAAGGTAGACTTAGACCTTGGCTTGTCCATCTCCTGGTTCTTTCTCAAAACCGCCTGCACACTGTGCGCTCCGCCTCCAATAAACCAAAGACAAGAAAGGTGAAACATGGACACATACTATCAGTTACTTTCACTGGCTTTCAAATACCTCCTCCCCCAGTACAAACACACTGGCAAAGACAGCCCTGAGGCTATCTCTCGCCCAGACCGTGAGAATTTGTTTCAAACAAGATTAAAAGTGCCTGTCTTCCAAAGTTGCAGCGGTGCCAGCAAGCGCACCCTTCCCCCATTCCCTTTTTTTTTTTCAGTCCTGAGTCACACTTGTTTTACTTTTTCTTTCTTTCTTTTCCTCCTTCGTTTCTTCCTTCCTTCCTTCCTTCCTTCGTTTCTCTCTCTCTCTCTCTCTCTCTCTCTCTCTCTCTCTCTCTCTCTCTCTCTCTCTCCTTCCTTTCTTTTCTTTTCCTTTTTTCTAAATAGAGGACAAGGAACGCAGTCTCTTTAAGTCACCTAGTGCCTTCATCTTTTGTGTTCAATGTTTTGAATTCCCAGCCTGCTCCTCAGGTTGTTTCCTGGTTGCAGTGGTAGGACCACGCACAGGGCTCCTCTGTCCCCATCACTCTCTAATCTTTCAGCCCCCTTTGCACATGGCCTAGATTCTCAACCACTTTTTTCTACACTAGGTCCATTGTACAGAAACAGTCCCTAGGACGGTATAAATCTGCCTTTGGAAAGTTTCCTCATAATGGGGGAAAGAACAGCATTACGTTTTTGTTTTTATTGTGTGTTGCTGTGGTCCTTTAATTTTCTTTTTCCTTTTCTTTTTCTTTTGTCCTAGCCCCACTTCTCTCCTGGATTTACTTTGTGGGTGGGTGCCGCAGTGGCGCAATGTTGGATTTCCAGCCCCCGAGACAATATTTTGGAAGGGCACCCTGTTCACAGAGGCGAGTGCCCGCCTGCAGGCGCACGCTCACATACTCCAGGAGAGCATCCCAGTTCCCTGAACCCCAAGCCGCAAAGGCGGCTAACCCAGTGGAGCCCTGAATAAATCACAGGCAGCAAAGGGGCCATCTTCACTAGCCCTAAAAAGTCTTTCCTTAGGGGAGACACACGGAAACGGATTCCTGCTGTGCACTCTGGGACACTGACACCTCAGGGACAAGTCGCTTTGTGACTCTGCTCATAGGGAGGTAGTGTCCCCAACCTCAGGTAGACAGTCGCTGCGCTTTTTCAAAGTCTCTAAAGCAATGTGGTCACCTTTTAAAGTCACCTTTTCCAATGATGCTCTTAGCAAGAGGCATTTTCGCAAAGGGGGGTCGTTTTGTACACGCTCTTGGAAGATCGTTCCTTTGTGGAGGGAAATGCTTTTTGCGTTTCTTTTGGAAAATGCCATGTATTTATGACATAGGTGGGCGTTCTTTTGGCTAAGGAATCCCAAGTCATTTCTCTAGAGAAAAAGAAACCCTTTTATGCTAGGCTTGACTTAGGAAGTCTTTTTATTTCCCCCAATGAGAAAAGAACACCGGTTTTCAGCTGCTGCTTTATAAGAAGTTGCGTTTATAAAAAGGGGGCAGAATTTCCCACATCTATCATTTCCACATCCACTAGGTCCCAGAGTAGGCAGAAAAGGTAGAGCGCCAGGAAGACCAAACCAGGGGAGCCCTGGGCGCCCTGCTGCGCGCATTCTTTTCCCACGCCCTGCGGCAAGGGTCTGGCCCCCAGGGGTTTGTGCTATCAAACTGGGACTCAAATTGGAGCCCCCAGAAAGAGGAGCGCATCTGGGCCTGCTTCCAGCGTCCACCGTGGATTTGCTGCTGGGGCATTGCCCCTCATCTGGAATCAATCCAGGGGACACCCCCACCTCCAACAGTACACCCCCCTCCTCCAACAGTCTGGGGCGTCAACTCTGCATCCCCACACTTTCACGATCAGAGTTTCATTCATCTTCGCTGAAGCTGGCAAAATCAGTTAAAGTGAAAGACCTTTCTGCACAGCCAATCTCGAGGAAATTCATGCGCGGACACTTTTCTGACAAAAGTGAGAGTTTTAGCAAAGTAACCAAACCGAGAGGAGGCAGTGCCGAAAGATTTTTCTGTGCGAGCTCACCTCCGGGGTTTGCTCTTTCTCTTACCTCTAGGGAACAGAACCCAGAAGGGAGGGCACCAGCAGCATCTCTAAAAGCGTGCTGTGGTCAACTGTCCAGATCCCACGCACAGGCAATCACCACGTCCTAAGTGCAGGACATGCAGTGTGTCCCCAGCCTCAGCGGCTCTGGCACCCGGACCCAATACTTACCTCCTGTTAAGACTCCTTTTGAGTAGAATGAAGAGGGGAACGAAAAAGGAGAAAAAAGGCTTCCGCCTGCTCCACGTAGACTGCGATTGCTGTAGCGGGATCTACCGCCACAGCTCGCAGTCCGCGGAGCAGCTGTTTGTCGTGGAGGCTGGTTGTGAGGCTAGTTGGGCCGCCCGGGCTAGCTGGGCTGCCTGTGTCGCCTGAGTAGCCTCTGCTTCCACTCCGTGCACTCTGGTAGTCTGGCTTTCTGCTTTGCTGCGCGGGCCGCTGCTGGCTGCTCTGGCTCACAGCTCCTCCCGCCCTGACAGTTCGTCGACTGCAAGGAGCCACTGCCAAGCCAGCCCTTTTCAATGGCGAGGGGGAGGGACTAGACAGGAGGGGTGGAAGGGGGGCAGAAGGGGGGTGAGCGAGTGGAAGGCGGGGGAAGAGGAGTGAACTAGTGCCCTAGCCGCCTGCTGGGAGGGGATGGCGCAGCACCAACTGCTGGGTACCCCCCTTTGGTCCCCACTCCCGGCACCCCGCATCCCACTCCAGCTCAGGAGGCGGCCTCTCCCAGCGGACGCTGAACCCCAGGAGCGGTGCGGGGGCGAGATTGAGGTAAGCTTGGGAAGTTACGCTTGCAGCCCAGAGAGGGAAGCGGAATGCGCACAGCCTACACGCTCCTTTATGGGACAAGGAGGCTTAGGGGAACGCAGAGCAAAATAAGAAGGGCATGCATTCCTGCCCGCGGGTGGTCCCCTTCTCCTTGAACTTTAAGTTTCACTCCTTTACATTATCTTACAGAAGTTTGATGTATTTTTTTTTCTTGGTCTGTATGCTTTTCTCTAGATTCCTCTGGCTCCCCTGAGTCCAGCTAGAGAACCGGCATCCAGCAGCACCATTTTCTCATACAAAGGGTACTTAGGGCACACTAGTGGAAGTAGGGGCAAGAGCCAGGAGAACCTGTAGTTTGAGCCAAGTGCCTGTTTCTAAATATGTCATATTCAACTGTGAACGGTCTCTGATACCTCAGCTGCCTAGGTCCACACTCATCCTCCATTGTGGGGTGGGGTGGAGTGGGGATAGAATGTCTGAGAAGAAAAATCGTCATTTGGCTATCCCAGAGAGCAACTAAGAGTAGCATTAAGCAGGTCGGTCGGTGTCTGTTGCCCTGTAGTTGGTGAATCCCACTGTGAACACCAGCACGTTTGAGAGGCAAGAAATGATACCAGAGGAGGAAGATCCTGGCCTGGAGCTGCAAGCCCAATGCTTGCCAAAAGCTTGGCAGCCCAGTTGGTGAAACCTGGCTGGCATGGGGTGTCAGATCTCCCAAAAGCACTAAAGCAACAAGGGACACTGTGTCTGGTATTGGCTCAGATATATAGTGAGTATCAAGAAGCAATAGCTAATTCCTTACCTATAGAATGGGATCAAAACAGGTAATAACACCCAGACATCTCTTAATTCTTATTTCAAGGAGAAAGTCCTTATATGAGAGAATGAGACAGGTGAATTGTCTATATTATTATGTGCGAAGTGTGCATTTTAGGAAATAATCTACTTTCTTTGATTAATGTGAAGAAAACTTACATTTCTGGTTCTGAAAATCTTTGGTTTTGAAAAGGAAAGAAAGCTTTTTTTTTTTTTTTTTTTTTTTTTTTTTTTTTTTTTTTTTTGGTTTTTCAAGACAAGGTTTCTCTGTGGTAGCTTTGCAGGCACTAAAAGCTTAGTATTCAGTTTTACTCTTGTATACTGAAGGGAAAATAGCATGAGAGATTGTATCTGCAAAGGAAAGGAATATGAAAAAAGGAAATAGTCTGCTAGTTATTATTAGTTGATTTTCTCAAAACAGCTTTTTTTTTTTTTTCAAGAAAGTTCTCTTAAGGGCAAATCTTTATGAATCCACAAATCTTTATTGCTCCACTGTGACCCACTCTATTTTCCTAAACCTTTTCCAATTTCCAGTTGTAGTTTTTTTTTAATTTTTATCTTACATGCTGCGTCAAAAATTCCTCAGAAATCATTTTTCCTGTTGTATTTTTTTCTCATACCCGAAGCCACTGCTAAGAGAAAGCCTTCGCATGCCAGTTGAGTGCAGTATGCATGAAATGAAATAAAATACAAGAAACTATTTGCTTGTACAGGTCCAGGGAGACACTTAACCATTACATTTATTCCTGTTGTACTTCTGACTTCATTATTCATAGTATCTAGCAATGCTTTATCCACCTTTTTTTTTTTTTTTGAAGCAAGGTAATGTGTAGGGGATAAAATCAGTTGCTGTCAAATTGTTACTGTTCTTATCTTGGATGCTGCACTGTTGGGTGACACTGTAATAGGGGATGGCAGTAACTCAATGAAAATAAAATCACTGATCCAGAAGAATGTGAAAAATCTATGTCATGGGGATACTTTCAAAGCACAAATAATTCTCTATAACACCTATAGTAGAGATCAATCAATTTATTTCTTAAGATTTCCATCTCAATTTGGTGTAAAGGGAGAGAACTAGTCATTAACTGTTCTTAAAACTATCATCATGACAGAATAATGTTGTTAATATTAGTAAGTCTGTTTTATAATTCCTAAAATGATACTCATAAAACACAGGTAATTTTCACAGGACATTCAGCTAAACAGCTTAGTCTCTGGCATTCTGTTTAGAGTGGATGATCTTTACATTTGGCCAAATAAGTGTTTTATAGTTAATATGTATTCTTCTGTAGTGTAAAATGCACAATTTTATTTTATGTGGACAGTTCAAAAGAAAATCGTCTCTGTGGAGTAGAAGCATTGCTTGTAGACCAAGGAGACCCTATAAGTTGAAATAAGTAACCCAGAAAATCATCTGAGAAAAAAAAAAGTAGTTTATTGACAAGACTGACAGAAATCCACATCTAAAAATAATGAAAGAAATTTCCCCATTTTCTCTTTGCCTGTATTCTGACTGATGGTGGCACCAGTGAGCAATGGAATAACCAGAAGCTAGGACACCTGGCAAAAACAAACTGAATTCTAACTCTGAAAGAACTGATGAGGACCTTGCTATGCCTGCAGAGAGAAGGGCTCTCCTTTTCCAAATGAATTGATGGACTTCCTGCATTATTAAATAGCCCTATTAATCATCAAAAACCACTTCATGAGGTAGATATTATTAGCTTCTCCTTTTCCATTTTTTTCTTTTTTTGATTTTGTTTTAACATGAAAGGAAATAAGAATAGATAAAAATGCCTAATATTTTATAGCTATAAAAATCTAGAGCTGGAAAACCCAGCCTATACTGTTTGCAGTACGCTGTGCTGTCCATTCACATGTGGTTTTCAGATTGTGTGCTTATAGGCTTTCATAATGTAAATTCTACAGGAAATCTTATAATTAACTAAGTCTTCAAAAGTAAAAAAGATACTGTGCCAATGTGTTTGTTGAAGGAAATAACAGAAAGCAACTGTGATATTTATTGCATTTCTTCAGTGTTCCAATTAAAAGACTGAATGATAATCTTATTATGTTTATGAAAGTGTAATTATGATAATCCATAGCTTGCAAGTATGGAAATATGCTTACTATCTTAACTTTAGCCATTATGGTATTATATGGTTACATAAATGATCAAAGAAATTTCTTTTTTTAAACTTCAGTGAGTAAAGTTGTTTCTCAGACGTGGGAGAATTGAACACTGGGAAAGGATGTGTTAATTTTAAGAAGGATTGAACAGCCATGCTCTCCTAGTAAAGGAATGACTATTGGTACTGCCTGTTAAAATACATAATCAATCACTCTGCAAAATCTGTTTTTTTTATATGAGATTAGTGAGAACAATGAATTTTTTTATTTCAGTTTCCCTTACATTAAAATACTGTTTATTGAGTAATTTGCTTGGGATTTGCCCTCCTATGTTATCACTGTGCAGAGAAAAACAGACTTGACTGACCATGCCGATCAATCACAACAAACACATTGTGTCTCTTACATGATAGATGCTTTATACAAAATTTAAGCCATTTTGTGTTGTACTAAACAACTTGTACTGAACATTATGCATAAATAATATAGTTAATAGATAATAATGGCTGTTTGGAAAGTAGATAAGGCAGGATAAAATGTACTCTCCATATTTCTATACTTAATATTAATTCAGTAACAATTGCATTTATTAGCAGACAATGACGTTCAATGGTTAAGAAAAGAACAATAGTTTTAGACTAACCAGGGAGTCTCAGCTCTGCCACTTTCTAGCTGTATGGTTGCAAACAAATAAACCTCCAGGACAGTATTGTCCAGCAAGATAGCCACTTTCCACATGTGAGTGCTGAGCCCATGAAATGTGATTCTCAATTTGAGATGTTCTGGGAGCAAAATATCTGTAGCCAATTTTGAAGATTCCTTAGAATGTGAACATTCACATACATATATGAAATATCTCATCATTGCATACCAATGTCACTATACAATGTCCATATTCTGAGTAATTGTTTGAATGAAACTATCATTAATTCAAAGTAATTTTTTTCATAATTGTAATGTGACTGCAGAAAAATTTAAAGCTATATATGTGAACTTTTAAAACATATTTAGTGGCATAGTTGTCTTCTAAAAAGTTTCTGTTCATTCATTTAAATGTGAGGATAACATTACCCATCTAAACATACATATGTAATTTTTTAAAGATAATGTACCCAATATGTTCAAAACTGCCTGACACTATGTTAAGGAGTTGTCATTTTCCAAAATACCGGCAATAAAGATACATATTAGCATTAGGATAAAGCTGTGGTATTCACGAATGATAACGTATGTACAAATATTCTGAAAAGTTTAGAAACTGTTTTTAATTACAGACATTCTTACTACTACATCATTTGTACACACACAAAACTCAAAGTAAGTTTGAGAGCAGTACAAGTACACAAAAAGGCAAGTGAATTCCTGCTGAATTTAAATATGGAAAAATGGAAGAAATCTTGTTTTTACAGCCCCCTAAGGTGCTAGTAGTTTTAGCTGCAGAATTTTTTCCCTTTCTGTACCTAGCTGAAAATCGTATGCATAGTTTAACTGAAGACACTAGAGGGTGCTATTAGTGAAAGCTTAGAAAAATAGTCTTCTAACACCCATCCCCCTCTCCACCACTATAGATTATTAGAATTTGAAAGAGGCATACCTGTGAAATGAAACTCACAGTACTCGATTCACTCCTGGATATAACTTGTAAGATTTGGCTTTCTTTTCTGGTTCTTTCTTTTCTTTCTTCCCTTCTTTCCTTCCTTCCCTCCTTTTCCTTCTTTCTTTCTTTCTTTCTCTCCCCTTGCCTCCCTCCTTTATTCTGGGCATTACCACATTACTAAAACAATATTAGATGTTTGAAATAGTACTTGGGCAATTATGT